TTGCTAAGTTGTGGAAGATTGAAAATAACAAAATCTGATTTTTTCCCTAATGTTGCTATCTTAAGTATCCTTAGGATTGTAATAAGAACTATTTCCCATGTAATGTTAGCAAAACAATGCTATATTCCATGTGTACAAGTGAAAATAATGTTAAATTAATAACAGCATAAGTAAGATGTAACTGTAACCAGTGTTTTCATGACTATCTTGGAACAGGTGGATTTTTGGGTTATATTTCATATTTGTCAATATATTTTTTGTATGCATATTCAATTACCAACTGCCTGTTCATTGGCATATTTTGTAAATATTGTATATTTTTACTTTTATGGTATAAATTAATATTAATTTATGTTATATATAACTTGATTGGCTGATCACAAACATCATTTCATCTCTAAACCCTGAAAACTTAGTTTTTCTAGGTGACCTGCCTTAGGGTTTTGGTCTTAGCCACTTGTATACTGTTTTCATTTGGTCTGAATAGTGTTTCATTTGTATGGGTATCTTCTAAGGTTGGAAAAGTAATATTTCCTTTATTTTTTTAGATTTCTTTGTAGGGTACATATTAGCGTTTTTATCCAGAAGTCAAAAAATAAAGAACAGGGTTATTTATGACTGTTTCTTCTACACTGAAAGCATATATCTAATGTAGTAATCCTCTTATGCTTTTAGTTATATAACTTCCTGTGAACTGAACATAAAACTCAGGAATTGATGGCTTAATTTTAGATCAGTGCTTGTATTAGTTTCAGTATGTGAATCTAAAACATATAACTTTGTATTGAGCCATAAGTTTTTGACTTTGAATGTTCCCTATCTGAGATTAATCTTCCTTCACACATGGATTGATAATGTGATTTACAGTTCCCAACTGTCTCAGATCCTCATGATGGTTTTAAGGATTTAAAACCTTATCAAAAAAATTCTTACATGAAAATTTAAACAAGTAATAGTTATTGACATGTGCAGTTTTGTTTTATTGTTAAATGTACTGTGTCTTTAGACTCACCATTTAGTGAGATGTTGGCTAGGAAAAGACAATGGGGCATGTGAAATATTAAGTTACAGCAATAGAGATTTTACTTGTGTTTCACGTCAGTACTTTTCTGTATCACTTATAAAGGTACAGTGTAATCTTTGTCACAGTTCAGTTGACAACTGCATTCCATTGAAGTTGGCCTTGTGAAATACAACCTTCATTTAATATTCATGCTTTTGTGCCTTTAAGAAAATATTCTTTGTCATTTTTGTGTTACAGAACTATAATACGATTCATAGTGTTTTAGGCTTACTTGTCATAAAGGGTCATTTCTCTTTGTCACTTTATTTTCTTTTATATAGGTAAAGTATATTTAAACAGTAATACTGTACTTTTATAAAGGTTTGTCTATTTACCTATTTCAAATATATTCTTACTTTCTAAGACATTGAAGTAGACATGTCAGATTATTCTGAGTATTGTAAACAGTGCCTTTTTGATGGAATTCACACTGTTTTGGGTGTCAACTTGTGCCATATACACAAAACTTTGTGGAAGGCAATTTTAACTTTTTGAAGACTATCTTCATCCATACTTAAGAAAACAAATGTATAAAATTCCATTTTTTCCATTGTTTAGCATTTCTAATGAGCAATGAATAGGTTTTTTTGACATACAGTGATGATGGCATTATTGATGAGCCATACACAAGACTGCAGATTATTTTGAATTATGTTAAATACAGAAATAAAATGTTAACATTTATATAAAATTTTGTGATCTGAACCAATGTGGGAACCCTACAGAAATGAGTAAGTTTACATTTCAACTTCTATCTTATTTGAGTAAGTATAAAAAAAAGGTTCTTTAAAATGTATAACCTGCCACTATTACATAATTTGGTTTCATTTTGTTGTACGTATCATGTGAATTCAGTATATTTAATTTACTTTTTTCTTACTCTTAACATACTATTTTTGTTACAGTTTTTAACAGAGGGTAGACTGTTACAATTATACAGGACCAGTGTCTTATTAATAAGATTAACATATTTTGAAGAGCCACAAGAAACCCATGACAAAATGAATGTGAATATACTTTCTAAAACATTTAGAAAAATTTATCCTAATGCATTTATCATGTAATAATTATTTTACTGTTACAATTTTGAAATTTTTCATTTAAAGAAAAATGGCATGAAACATTTGAACTGATGAGCCACAGAACTTCAGTTGAAATATTTTCACTTTTTGGCATGTTATTATACATTTAAGTTTAAATATCCTGTTTAATGGCCATTTTTAAATTGAAGCACTACCACTGGTCGGTTTTGTATGACAGACTAAAATTATGTTATCTGCAGTGTAAGTATAGCACACTGTCAAATTCTTTTCCTTAAGGTGCATAGTAAATGTACAGATAGTCATAGGTTACTGTTTTGTAATGTATTACATTTTTAATCTGTTATTCCTAACCTGTTATAAATGTTTGCAGAGAGAAAAGAATTGAATTTTTCTAATGATCTGTAAAATTATGCTAACTTCTACAAGTAGGCGTTCTAAATAAAATTTTTAAAAACAGAAACTGTGGTCAAATGACTTAGCATGGTAAATAAGTTTATCTTTTTTTTCCTTATTTTGTTGGGAAAATTGCAAAGCAGGAGAATCTTTGAAAGAGATTTAATAGAATCCCTAATGTAGGGGCTGGGGATTTAGCTCAGCGGCAAAGCGCCTGCTTGGCAAGCACAAGGTCGTGAGTTCGGTTCCCGGTACCAGAGAAAAACCAAAAAAAAAAAAAAAAAAAAGAATCCCTAATGTATGCTTTATGAGGTATGGTCAAACAACCCAGTGAACGTTTAAATTTTAAAAATTTTATTACAGTAAAGACACATTACTATTAATCCCTGTCCAAATACTCCTCTTGCTTCAAACACTTATTCTTGCCACTTTCTCAAGCATCTCTGAAAGTCCACTTTTCTTGAGTATCTTAGTTGCACTGTCGTAACTGCCACAATGTCCTAACTCAAAAATGTTGACCTCTGATGGTCTTCTTGACTTTGGGGAAATGTCGGAAATCACACAGTGCCACATATGGTGAATGGGGGGATGAAAGCAGATTGTAATGTTTCTATTTGACAGAAATTGCCATAAGCAGTTGATCAATGAGAAGTGATCAAAAAATGTGGTTAATGTTTAAATTTTTAAATTACACTAAAATATTGTTATTCTCCCCCCTTAGAATTTCCCCCTCGTTTCAAATTTGAACATACTTATCCTATCATTCCTGTATATATATATATATATATATATATATATATATATATATATATGTATTTTTTTTAAAGACAGGGTCTTATTATGTAGTGCAGGCTGGCCCTTAGCTCACTTATGCAGCCCAGCCTTCCAAGTGCTGGGATTACAAGCGTGCACCACCACACCCAGCTACATTCATTCTTCTTGAATCTTAAGTTCCCCAGATTTTGTGAACTATCTGAGACACACAGAAGTTAAATGACTCCAGAATCTACCCAATATGTGCAATAGCATACTCTTAGAGTAAAAACTTTAAGTTTGAATCCATGTCTACTTGCATGACACATTTTAATAAACTCCTGATTGTGATACTTGTAATTGTCTGGAATATAAGTGCTTGAATCTATACTGAAGAAACATAACCCCTTATGATGAACAGAAGCAGAAAGAAATGGACCTTATTATTAAGCAAAGCATATATACCAAACATACATGAAAGTTGTTTTCCTTTCAAATCACCTAGTAGTCCATGGAAGTCATTCCTCTCTGGTTTTCCTCCGCCCTCTTCTCATGTTTACTGTGCCCTCAAGGACCAAGTACTACTTACTGTCATTGACTTTGTAATACTAATAGGGGAAGGGACATAAAGGGAGAGTGAGCAGTTTGCACCTATCCTGTGCATAGGAATGAGGAATAAAGAAAACAGCCCCTCAGTTTTCAACGTCAGTGAAACATCTCCATTATTTTCCGGCTAATATTGACGTTTTTTAAAACTCTAATAGGTGTTATGTGTTGTGCCGTTATCCTATTGGTTTTCTGTGTCTTACAAACCAGCCCTTTCTGATGGGTATAACTGGCCAGCAGAGTGGTGATCTGCCAAGGAACTTGGTGGATATAGTTGACTGCTGTACTTAATCTATGCTAGCAGGTATGCAAAGTGCTTTGTAAACTTTCTCCACCTCTTCAAAACTTAAGATTTTTCTTTTAAATTTATATCCATTTTTAAAGATGAAAAAGCAGAGATTATCTGCTGAATATCACGTCTGAATCCAAAGCCAGTACTCTCCTTAAGTCAACCCCCACCCCGTGTTTTGGACTGAATCACAATGTAGACCAACGAGATACACTGTAGGCATACTTTTGATCATCGATGTAACTAAAGGGTTTGCGTCGTCACTTCTATTATTTTGGCTAAATTGATAAGAGAAAAACTAGCTAAATTGTGGTGGCTGGGATTTCTGTATGATAACCTGAACCCAGAGCACGTAGAAAATACCCCTCCTTGAGACAGGTCTGAAATTTTTCGCTCTGGCCCGGCCTTCCCCATTTGCTGTCGATTTAAAACTGCGTTCATGAAAGCAATCTGCAGGGTTTGGACAAAATATGCGTGAACCAAGGCAAACGTTTTTGCCACCAAACAAGTAGCTTGTGACGAGGGCCAGAACCCAGCCGAATTATACCCACGGGCCCATTCCTTCCTTCTCACAGGCCCAGCTGGTACGGGAAGAAGGTTCCCGGGAGAAGAGAGGATTCCCTGGAGGGAATGAAGTCACCGAGAGACCCGGGCAAGCTTTTAGGGTTCCGCCCAGGGGCAGATCCTGGTGAGCTACCTTTTCTATCTTCGTGGGTGCCTGGCCTGTCCAACCCAACTCGCGAAGTACAGGGGCAAGCTTTTCCGCCAAGCGAGTTTGTGAAGAGCAGCGGATTCTCCAACCGAGAAGCTGCACCCGTACGGCTTCCGGTTCATAGCCTACTTCCGGTTTCCTCCCCGCCTTTTCCGCTTCCGGTCGCGCCTGCCGCGTTGGGTCAGTGCCGCTGTTCCGACGGCTGTCAGGTGGAGGCGGTTTCGCCTCCAAGTTCAATGGCTGTGGCGGTGTCTGTGAAGACGGCCCTGCAGGTGGCCGAGGTGCTGGAGGCCATTGTCAGCCGCTGCGTGGGGCCCGAGGGCCGACAAGTTTTGTGTACGAAGCCCACCGGCGAGGTGCTGCTCAGCCGGGATGGAGGTCGCCTCCTGCAGGCGCTGCACTTAGACCATCCCATAGCCAGGTACCTGGATCCTACACTCTACCCCACCCAGGACACACCCCGACGGTCTCCGTGAGCCTCTTGCCCTTCCCGAGGCTCTATACGTAGAAAAACAACCTTAGTGAGACCGGCATACGCAGGGGGTTAGAACTGCACAAGGAATACTCGTGGATTCCAAAATTTCAGACTCCTAAAGAACACTTCTTATTCCTCTCCTCCCTAGAATCTTAGAATAGAACGAAGTAAATTGGAAAGGAGAGGAAGAAAACTTAAGATTGTATATCAAAAGTACAAGATTTTTTATATCTGTAGCTGATAGTTTTAACTTGATTCCATGAAGGAAGCCCGTCTTCTGAAAAATCTGACTTGTTTTATTTCTGTCTGCTTCTCTGTCTCTTGGTGCAGGATAATAGTGGCGTGTGTTTCCAGTCATCTAAAAAAAACAGGAGATGGTGCTAAAACATTTATTATCTTTCTGTGCCATTTACTCAGAGGACTTCATACAATCACAGAAAAAGAAAAGGATTCATTGATTTCTGAAAATATTCAAACCTTTGAAAGACGTTGGAAAAATTGTTGTCAGTGGAAATTTATTTCTCAAGCTCTATTAACGTTTCAGACACAAATTCTAGACGGTATTATGGACCAGTACTTAAGTAGACACTTTTTGTCCGTCTTTTCCTCATCTACTAAAGAGAGAACACTGTGTAGGAGCTCCTTAGTGTTACTCTTAGAGGCATACTTTTGCGGGAGAGTGGGAAGAAACAATCACAAATTTATTTCACAATTGATGTGTGACTATTTTTTCAAGTGTATGACTTCTGAAAATGGGATGGAAGTATTGGAGTTAGTGGATGACTGTTTTGTAGAGTTGAATGTCAGTGTCATTGGCCTCCCTGTGTCAGATTCTAAGATCATAGATGGTCTTGTGCTTCACAGAGATTTTTCTGTTTACTGCCCAGCAGATGGTGACATCCGAGTAGCTGTAGTAAGAGAAATCATTCAGCCTGTTTTTTCAACTTCTAGATCAGAGTTTGTTCTAAATTCAGAAGCACAGTTTCAGACATCTCAGATTTGGATTATGGAAAGAACAAAATCAATAATGAAATATTTACTTAGTCAGAATGTAAAATTACTCCTGTCTACTGTGAAACAACCAGATTTAGTTATTTATTATGCAAGATTAAGTGGCATATCAGTGGTGGACTGTTTATCATCAGAGGAAGTTTCTCTTATTCAAAGGATCATTAGTCTTTCCCCATTTGTACTTCCACAGGCCTCTTTACAGTGTGAAATTTCTGATACTGCTTTGGTGAAATTTTGTAAACCTCTTATCCTTAGATCCAAAAGATATGCTCACCTTGGTCTAATTAGCACATGTACATTTGTACCACATTGTATAAGTCTTTGCGGACCAGTGCAGGGTCTTGTTGAACAACATGAAAATGCTTTACATGGAGCATTTAAAATGCTTCGGCAGTTATTTAAAGACTTTGATCTAAATTATGTAAAAAAAGCCAATGACCAAAATGACGCATTAAGACCTTGTATTTATAAAAATAATAGAAAAAGTAATCAGGTACCCAAAATTGGTAATCACTCTATACATAGGTCTTACCAAGACACAGGTATAAAGAACAGTGATAAATTGGAAAAAACTCAGTATTTAAAAGCACACTCAAATTTGGTAGTTTCAGATGTTGAATTAGAAACATATATTCCGTGTTTAACACTAAAAATGATGCCACCAGATAGAGTCCAAACAGATGAAATATGGAGGTGTTTACCTCCTGAAAATAAAAGGATAACTGATGACTATGAGCTATTAATTGAGAGTAATTCCACTAGGAATTCTCTAACAGAAAACCCTGGAATAGAAATTTCTTATGAAAATTTCCAGGTCACAAATATTGCTGGAAAGGGGAGCATGTTACCAGTGAAATATAAATCACTAGATACATGCATTTCACAGAGTTTCTGTTCATCATCTATACCAGCAGGCTGTGTTTTGCCTGTGGGTGGAACTTTTGAGATCTTACTACATTACTACCTCCTCAGCTATGCCGAAAGATGTCAGCAATTAGAAGAAATTGTGGTTAGTAAGTTAATAGCCAGTGCACTTTTAGGCATTCCCAAAATCCTTTATAAACCCAAGAAGGGAAGTCACAGCTTTCCACAAATATATTTGAGAGCTCTCCACACACTGCAAACCAGTCAACCCATGATAAGCTGTCAGGCAGGTTTGGAATCAGTAACTGGTAAATACCATGTACTAACATCAGTTCTTCAATGTTTGACAAAAATATTAACCATTGATCTGATAATGAATATTAAAAGACAGCCACTAAAAAACTGTGATCAAGATTCTGAAGATGAACTTCAACATTAGAAGATTTTTGTTAACTAGGGTTTAACCCAACTAGAACCATAAAGTAAAGCAGGCATATGACTACTGGTTCTTAAGACAATTTGGTCTACTCAGGAAAACAGCATGACTTCAAATGTCTTTAGAAATATGCTAAGGCCACCAGACCTTTCAGATGCAAATATTATTGGAATATTTATGGAACAAAACTAGAGGGGAAGCCAAGATCCCGTTAAATATGTCTCTTTCCGCTTTTATGCCTGTGTCTCACTTCTGTGAGTGTGTGTTGAAAGGAGAGTGTTTTATTAAAGCATATAAATTAAATTAGTTTTTACTTCCATGTGCCATTTCTTTCATTTCTATTCCATTTGGAAGAAAACTTAGATTTTTCACCACTAATATACCACTGAATGTATGTTATGAGAAATGAGATTGTACATTGTGAATTCATTTTATTTCTGTAATTAAAAGTTAATTCCAGAAAAAATGTAGAATTTGTACTTTTTATTTTTTCCTAGAGTCTAAAAATCTTACGAAGATATTTTGTGTACTTATGGGTTTTTCTTGTATTTAGTGGATAGCCAGAGTTCGGTAGTAACAAATAATTTGACAATTATTTCTAATTAGAATTTATAGGTATTTATATTTTATGTTAAAAGCATTGAAATGCAAACAGTACATTGCATCTAGCCATGGATAAGAACAGTGTCCTGTATTTGTACTCGTTCTCTAAGACAGCCAAAACAGTGCTTTGTTTATTCCAAGTATTCAGAAGCGCTTGTGAAATAAAACAGTGCTATCTTTGTTCCGTTTCCCTAAATGCATGTTTCCAATTTACTTATTCAAAAAATTCCTGCCGAGTAAATACTGTGTGCCATATACTGTGGTAGATACTGAGCATATGTCTTCATGCACTTTTCCTCAAAGGTTAATGGATAGATACGTGTGTGGGATGGGGATATATTGAGGCAGTTTTCTTTGGAAAACACTGTCTGCTGCACCATGGAAGAGATGAAGAAAAATATGTTAACTTCTCAACAAAGTTGCTATAATTGTTTTCCGAAGTTACATATCAGTCCACCTCCCACTATCACATTTTGCCCAGTAACATTTTTTTTTCATGAAGCCAGCATGAGCCACTCTTATGTTCAAAACAATAGACATTAAATAATTGAACTTGCTGGGTGTGGTGGTACATACCTGTAATCCTGCCACTCAGGGAAGCTGAGGCAGGAGGATTGCAAGTGTGAGCCCAACCTGGGCAATTCAGCAAGACCTTGTCTGAAAATAAATTTTAAAAGAGCTGGGAATGCAACCTAGTATGAAGACCCTGAGTTCAAGTTCAACCCCCAGTACCCCCCAACACACAAATATCTTTGAACTGCTTCAGCTAGTGGAGCTATTTAATCATATTATTCAGGAAATTTCATGATATCCATGTTTCAGACTAAAAGAGAAGGGAAAGGGGAATGCACTACAAGCCTAAACTTTTATCAGCAATTGCTCATGTCCTCGCAAAAGGGGCAGAGTATACCATGAATCTGTATGTTTTAGATGTTCTTTGTTTTGGCACTTCTATCTTTATCCCAACACAGACAACAAAATCTCTTCTGTGGTGGATGACTAATGTTTAACTCTTGTTATAAAACCTTTACAAACAACATGTTAAAATCAAGTAAGAGTCATAAAATAGCCCTGTATAATCATATAGTTTTACACTTTATTAACTTTTTGCCATACTTATTTCTCCCAGCAGGTTTTAAGAAGAGGCATGTTTTATTTTAAGTTATCCCCTGTGATGTTTGATATTGTAAAATTTATTTCACACTTCAGTGAAGGTTTGCTACACACATACTTTTTGTATTGGTGATGAAGTCAGAAAAAATAGTGTTGTTTTTTTTTCCCCTTGTAAGCTGACAAAGAATGGACAAGGGAGAAGAGCTGTAGGAAGTGAAACGTGAGGTTGATTGAGAATTTAGTGCGAGCAGGAGATCTGAGCAAGGAGTGCCCACACAAATGGAAGCACTTTGGAGTTTGCAGAAATCTTAGGAAAGGCACTGAACTCTCCACAGGAGGTAGGATAAGGACCTGTGCTATTTTTATTTAGACATTAACTATATAAGCAGCTACATAAGACTAGAGAGCTTAGTATATACAGAAAAGGTGAAACAGATGAAAGAAAAAAAGTGTTTTTTTTGTACCAGGAATTGAACTCATGACCTCGTGCTTGTCAGGCAGATGCTATGCCTTTGAGCTACATCCCTGGCCCCAAAGTGTATAGAATGAATTCTTAATAAACTCTCTGGAGAAAGGACCCTTCAAGGGTCCTTATATAATTCGGGGGAGGGGGGCGTCTATGTCTTTCACTGTCCTTGACTGATTTCAAGGTTTGTAGAAACTTAACTTCTGGAAGGCTGATGGTAATATGTATGATTCCGTTCTTAGAAATACAGTTTGCATTTTGTCCCATGAAAATATATCAATTTCTACTGTATGGAGAGACTAGCTTTGCATCTGCCAGCAAAATCAAGCTGGGTGTGGTGGCACATGCCCGAAATCTCAGCACTTGAGAGGCTGATGGAGGATTGCTGTGAATTCAAGACAATCCTGGGCAACCTAGTGAACTCAAGACCAACCTGAAGTACACAGCAAGACCCAGTCTCAAAAAACAAAACACAAAAAGCCCATCAAGTCAGTCTTCCTGATTTCCTGTGCTGTGTTTTTCCTTTGAATTCTTTGGAACCAGTAACACCATACTGGTTTCCTTATTATATAATAAGCAAATGTTTGACATGTTCATTTTATAGTTGTATAATTTTATGCATTTTACTTTAGCACCCTGAGTCCAGCAAACTAGTCCATCTCCACAAGTGGGATGGCACTGAGCGAGAGAGGACCCCTGAGTTTCTGATACTTATCTAAAAGAGACTGAGTTGACAGAGTCACTTAAAGGGGCACGATGATATTTGCCCTCATTCCTGAACACAGTTCCTAGATTCAAGTTGATTTCAGGGTACAGGTCTAAAAACATGTCAAATGTGAGGACTCGTGTTTGCATGTGTGTGTTTGTCCTACATTTTTAGCTAGTTCTCTTATGTAACCAAAAAGTAGAACAGATGATGTGCTGGTCTTAGGGAAACAGCATGGAAAATTAACAGCATTGACTCCCTCTCTCCCTCCTCCTCTCCCTCCACTCATCTCTGTCGTAACCACTTCATCTGTTTCTGTATCAGTTTCATTCTCCCAGTCTGGCTTCTCCACAGGTCATAGACTTGCTGCTAGCATCTCCGCCTCTCCGCTCATATCCCTTGTAAAGAAAACCATAGCATGAGACTGTTTTCAAAAATGTCAGCGAGAGAAGAAGCCCTCTAATGTGGGAGGGAGGGTGGAATTTTTTACAGGGCTTTGGCAGGCGGGGTCAGATGAAGTTCAGCTAGTTTCAAAAATATTTATTCAAAGACAGCTCTCAGAAAAGGGAGGAATTATTCTTACCAATCAGCAGTCGTAGTTTGAACAATTTGGATTTTACCAAGAGGAGTAGAAGGACGTGTGAGAGGCTAAGGCCCAGGCAGTCAGCCTGGGGAGGAAGAACTACAACGGCCAAGGATGCAGAGGGTCACAGTGGAAAGTTCCCAGTAGTTCAGTGGCCCTCACACCTTACGTTATCACTGTAGAGACTTTCCTCTACATTAAAGTGGCTAAATGCTAGGGAACGATTTGATTGATCTGACTTGAAATCCCTGCTTGTCCTGAACTGCCCGCTGTGGTCAAGGAGGCAGACACAAAAAGAGGAGACCGGTGCTGATCATGCCCATAAACTAGTGCAAGGAGAGGAATCTGGACCTGGCCTGTGGGGGCATCAGTGAGCAGTGCTGCCTGGTAGAAGTTTGCTCTTAGGCCCTACTTAAGGGAGGTGAAAGCCTGCTGAAAGGCTGATCATAGCTCTGCTGCCCAGATTTCTTCCAGAGTGTTCATGTTCAGAACTTAATAACAGTGATCATTCTGTGTAGCTGGGAAGATAAACAAATTTAGCTTCATCCCAATATTGGAAGCACTCCATGGCTCTTTTTTTGTTGTTTTTTTTTTGTGTGGGTTTTTTTGTTTGGTTGGTTTTTTTGGTGTTTTTTGGTCTCTGCTCTTGAGCAGCAAAATCCTTTTTAACTATCCAGCACCCACTAATCCATTCTTCCCTTAAGGGGGAAAAATATACGTCTGCCCTATGAACATAGTTACTAGTGAAACATCCGTATTTAGGGAAAGGAAATACCTGTTCTCATCATTTAGAATCAAAATCCCCATAATTTAATCCTTGCTTCTCACTCACATGCCCTGTGACCTTGGGCAAACAACCCAGTAAGCCCAGTTTCTCATTTAGAAAATCAGTAACACAAACCTCAAAATCTAGGGAAATTATTCATGTAAAGAATATGCCATCGATCCTGGGCATGGTAGCACACCCCTGTAACTGCAGCACTCAGATGCTAAGGCAAGAGAATCACTGCAAGTTCAAGGCCAGCCTGGGCTGCGTAGTGAGTTCAAGACCAGCCTGAACTACATAGCAAGACCCTGTCTCAAAAAAAAAAAAAAAAAAGCCATTATGTCTGTAATATATTAAAATATAAAACTTGGGGTTTTTATTATGATGGTGATAATGATAAAGGTAACAAACATGAAAGTATGTAAAAAGTACATAAGGTATTTATGTTTTCCTGTGCCCTTCCCAATATCATATTTAAAATAGCGTTTCTGGATTAAACGAGAGCTCAGATTACTTCCATTAGAGACTAAACTGTCAGTTCACTAGAGGTCTCAGTCTCTCCAAGGGCTGGAAAGGGAACCGGAGCACAAGAAACCTCTGCCCTAAAAACTGGGTAAGTAACACCAGGAACTAGGGATCCCTTGTTTCACAGTTGAGTTCACAGTGTCTTAGTGTATGTCCGTGTTTCCTCGCGTGAGTGTATGTGTTGGTGTGTCTGGATCTGTGTATTCGTGGGATATGGTTAATCAGGATGCAGCATCAGAAAATTATCTGCATGAGCACTGATTACAGATGCTGGTGAATTAGCAATGTAGAAAGGGGAAATTAAATTTGGCTTCACTGTGAAAAGGGATATTAATTACTGTCATTTACTTGAGCCCCTCCTATTTGTGCATAATTACTATGCAGCACAGTCATAATCATATGTATCATTAAAAATGTGCCCAGTTGTGTAGGTGGTCTTGATTAGAAAGATCAACTCTGCTCTACTTAGGTACTCTACTCAAATTTGATTTTGGTACCCTGCACAACAATATATATATATATATATCAGGAAGAACCTGACTCCCCAGAGTTTTGAAACTGCCCACCAAATGACATTGACAGTTACTCTAGTTTGAGGAAACAGCCCTCTCAACCATGTCCCAGTGTAGGGGGGAGCAGAAACTTCTGACCTTCTCTTTCTTTCTCATGCTCAGAGAATCCACAGGGCTCACCTGGCACAGCTG